TTTTTTTTTTTTTTTTTTTTTTTTTTTTTTTTTTTTTAGAAGCGGCAGTCCTTTTATTTGGTGCACAAGGTGTTTCTAGGCTTGGCAATGGAAGGGTCATAAATACTGGTAGTTCAACAACAAGGGGAGGGGGTGGGGGTTCACATGGGGCACACACCTCGTCCGCCTCCCCGTCTTCCTCCTCCACCACCTCCTCCGCCGCCGCCTCCTGCTCCTGCCCCTCATCTCCTGCCACCTCCTCTCGGTTCACCTTCCCCATCCAAAATACGCACGGGCAACCTCAGGCACAACTCGGCCCTTGGCACTGCTGTGACGCCCAACCTCACGCCCAGCGCGACTTCCTGATCGGAGTGGGATGTGGGCCTGGAAGTGCAAAAAGGGGTGTGCCAAGGATTTTTGGGAAAGTGGGGGAGTCTTAAGGGTATGAATGCAACTAGGCGAATGAGGGGTGCGCGCGCAAGGGTCTCATGGTTCGAAGGGGCCGGGACACTATGGTCGACGGGTTACGGGGAAATCCCTCCGTGGTGGAGGCGGTCCCGAAAAGTTCGGCCGTCCGGAGCCGCCACGTGGCGCAGGTCGCCGCGTGCTTGGGTTGGGCCTGCGGAATTCCGGAGTTCTTTGTTCGCCGCTACGTCGGCAATTCACACAACACGTGTCAGGCCAATAGGGGGCTATGGCCGGCCACCGGATGACACTGAGTTGATGGTACGGGAGAAGAAGGCGGAAAGGAGGGAAACTGGTGGTGACGACAACAAATCCCGGGTGGGTGAAGTAGTAGGTGTGGTCGGGAGAAGGGAAATCGGAGCATCGAGGGTCGCTAGAGGTGGCGCAGTGAAATTCCCACGGACATAGCCGATTCTCCGTGTGACAGGGGTATCGCGTCCTTATGAGTTCGTTTATCATAGGGGTGAAATAGTCCGGGTCATATGATGAGTCTGAATTCCAAGATCGCGTCATGGTATCATTGTGGATGGGTCCGCTTGGGAGGGATGCCATCACCACGCACGAGTACGCGCAAGGCAGGCAGCCTCAGTGGCGCCTCAGCGTGCTTGTGCAGGATGACGGTTCCGCCGCGAATCTTTTTGGGGGAGCGGATCGACGCACGGGAACGCGTGTAAGGGCGCGACTCGGATCGCGTTCACACGTGTTCTCGCGTGGCGTTCGTGGGGTCAATCCTCATATCGTTTAATTGCTTCGGATTATGAAAGATGCAACCATGTCACAACCCCCAGCGCGAGATAAGCAAAAACGAGGACAAAATCGCTATCGGTGTCAGATCCTCATCCCATCTACAGCTGCATCAGGCGTGAGCAGAGGTTTGATACAAACAAAAGGTAAGGACCGGGATTCTCAGCAGTGATATAGATGCGCAAGCATATCATCCATACATCCATTCATTCAACAATCATACATGTCACGCAATCGAGATGGACAAGAAGCGAGGACAAGTGTGAACAAAAACCCAAGTCTCTATTCCCAAAAGCCGAAAACGAAAATGAGAACGGGCCAACCGCCCGGAGTCGTAATCAAAATGTATGTACACAGATGAAGAGGGGGAAGAGACAAAGAAACAGCAAATCCACGTCCATTGACCTCAACTCTCTCTCCTTCTCTCTCTCTCTCTCTCTCTCTCTCTCTCTCTCTCTCTCTCTCTCTCTCTCTCTC